CACATGCCACATGCACATTGATTGCACATGCACATGCCACATGCACATTGATTGCACATGCACATTCATTGCACATGCACATTCATTGCACATGCACATTCATTGCACATGCACATTAATTGCACATGCACATTCATTGCACAAGCACATGCAGCATGCACATTCATTGCACATTCACATGCCGCATGCACATGCACTTGCGCATGCACATTCATTGCGCATGCACATGCACTTGCGCATGCACATTCATTGCACATGCCGCATGCACATTCATTGCACTTGCACATTCACACTTGCTCCATAAGTCTCCCCTAATCCCCCTGCATCCCCCTCCCCCTCAGCCCCAGAGAAGCGTCCCGCAGTCGAGGCCGAAGAGAGCGACGCGCCCCCGGAGGCAGCAGAGGAGCCGCTGGCAGAGGAGGGCGTGGGGGGAACCTTGGCAGGGAACCACAGCCACTCGGAGCCGCCCCTTGCCCTGGAGGAGGAGTCGCCGCTGCCCAAGAAAGAGCCCCTGGAGATGCTGGCCAAGGCTGGTGAGGCGGCAGAGGAAGGCTCACGGGCTCCTCTCCCTTTTCCTTTTCTTGTCTTGTCTTTCCCATTCTTTTTTACCTTTTGTTTCTTTTTCTATTCTATTCCATTCTATTCTAAATATTATCTTTTGTTTTCCTATCTTTTAAAGTAAAGTGAGTTTGTACGTATATATATTTTGATGATCATCACAAATGAATGTAGAGAGGATATGTGATATTTAGCATTACCCATTGAAACTTATTTGAAGGCACCAAAAGATCTCAGATGATCCCATCCCTTAGTGTGGCCGGAGGATGAGTACATTGTGGAGTACTCGCTAGAGTACGGGTTCCTGCGGCTGTCCCCTGCCACGCGCCAGAGGCTCAACATCCCAGTTAAGATCGTCACCCTAGACCCCATGAAGGACGCGTGCTTTGGTGACACGCTCTCACGCTTCATCTTGGATGAGTTCCTTGGCTATGACGACATACTCATGGGCTCCATCAAGAGCCTTGCGGAGAAGGAGGAGAACAAGGGATACCTGAGGTAGGGGTGAGGAGAGCAGAGGGAGGAAGCGAAGGAGGGATGGAGAGGCTATTTTGAAGTCTGTGAGGGAAAAAAAGGAGGGGATTTTTTTTTTTTATGTGTTTTTACAAAACGACATGTTAAAGTTACGAATAATGGAGTAGGCAGTGATGGATGAAACTTAATTGATACAACTGTATTACTAGGGACATGTGTTAAGAAAAAAATAACAAGCTTTGGAATGTATTGGCTGTAGTGACATTTTCTTTCTCGATGCTTCTTATTCAGAAAGCACTGCATTGCCCTCTTCTCTCTGCCTTCCCAGGAACGTAGTTACGGGAGAGCACTACCGCTTCGTCAGCATGTGGATGGGGGGGAGCAACTACCTGGCTGCGGCCTTTGTCATGGTGGTCTTTACCCTGAGTGTGTCAATGCTGCTGCGTTACTCCCACCACCAGATCTTCCTCTTTATCGTGGACCTGCTGCAGATGCTGGAGCTCAACGTGGCCATCACCTTCCCTGCCGCCCCCATGCTCACCGTCATCCTCGCGCTTGTTGGTGAGTGACTCGACTTGGGCTCAGTTTAGCTTCTTTAAGGGTAGAACCTTTGGATGGGGTTTGAGGGAGCTGCTCCAGCTGGTTAGGTTGGAAGAGAAAAGGAGCAGGTTTCAAGGGGGGGGTTTTAGGATTGTGTTGTTAATGATATGTTAGTAGTAAAATAAGGGAGAGGTTAGGTGCTGAATGAGGGAGAGTTGAGGGCATCTATACTCAATTTCTGAGGAAGTATAGAGTTGTATTTGCTGAGAAATAAGGGGAAAAGAAAGCAGATTTCTGTAGCAGCATCAGTGAAAGCCATGCAACACATGTATACATGCATACACGCGCACAGGCACAGGCACAGGCACAGGCACAGGCACAGGAACAGGCACAGGCACAGGCACAGGCACAGGCACAGGCACAGGCACACACACACAGGCACACACACACACACAGGCACACACACACACACAGGCACACACACACACACGCACACACACACACAGGCACACACACACACAGGCACACACACACACACACTCACTCACTCACTCACTCACTCACTCACTCACTCACTCACTCACTCACTCACTCACTCACTCACTCACTCACACTCACACACTCACTCACTCACTCACTCACTCACTCACTCACTCACTCACTCACTCACACTCACACACTCACTCACTCACTCACTCACTCACACACTCACTCACTCACTCACTCACTCACTCACTCACTCACTCACACTCACACACTCACTCACTCACACTCACACACTCACTCACTCACTCACACACTCACTCACTCACTCACTCACTCACTCACTCACTCACTCACTCACTCACTCACACAAACTCAAAAGCAACCCCCCCCCCCCCATGCACACACTTCCTCCCCCTTTCCCTCTTCCCCACCATGCCTCTCC